AAGCGCTATCAAAAGCGCTTAAGTGTGTACTTTAATTTTTAAAAAAAATTACTTCGATAACTTGATTGGTTTTGGAGATATGACGGTGGCAACAAAAAAAAAACACATTTTATTAAAAATATATTTTTTTTACTTTTTTTGTTATAAAAAAGTTCAAGACCACGGAAAAATGTCGTATGCCCAGTGACATGCTTAACAAAACCTACCACGTTTGATTTGGTTCTACGCCAATTTTTTTTTTCTCGAAAACTAAGCGACTTTCGGCCACAGCTTTACTCGGCTAATACGAACCTAGATTTTTTATTTGCGATTTTGTCATCTTTGAGCATTCTAAAATCGATACTGTTTATAATTTTTCAATAACACGGTAAAAAAGCAGGTCCGTATTTGAAAAAAAAAATTGATGATGATTCCAGAGGAACGAAACGTTGGATTTCAAATTTAATACTGCCATCTTGTAAAGAAGAGAAAGTGACAATGGGAGTGTGAAATTAGCTTTTCAGAATCATTTTAAATGAAATCAGGAAAAAATTTAAGAAAAACGAGAAATTCATGTTTTTTTCGTATAGTTTTCATTTTTTCCTGATTTTATTTAAAAAGATTGTGAAAAACTAATTTCACCTTGCCATTATCACTTTTTCTTCTCTACAAGATGGCGGTATTAAATTGAAAATACAACGTTTTGTTCCTCTGAAATCATGTTGTTTTTTTTTTTTAAATATGGACCTGCTTTTTTTGCTGTGTTATTGAAAAATTATAAACAGTATCGGTTTTAGGATGCGCAAAGATGACAAAATCGCAAATAAAAAATTCAGGTCCGTATTTAAAAAAAGGAAGTTGAGGATGGCCGCCTGAAGACGAAACGTCGAATTTTAAATTTAGTAGCACTATCTTCTAAAGGGGAAAAAGCGATAATGATGAAGTGACATTTATTTTAAAGTTGCTTTTCAAATAAGTCCGGGAAAAAATAAAAATGATTTTACAAAATTTTGGTTTTTTCCGAATATCTCCGGAAGTATTCGGAATCTTTCTAGTTTCAAAACGGCATTCCATTGGTCATAAAATTGCGCAACTTTGCCATAATTTAACCGACCCCGTATCTCTTACGGTCACCGAGATCCCAATGATGAGGCTGAAATTTGGGCCACCCTGTATATCAGGAAAACGAAGCATTTCCGGACACATGTTTATTAAAAAAAAAAATTATTTTTACGAGATCTACCATCCCTAGAAGTTTGTAACAAACCTTTCGTGACACCCTGTATATAAGGGGAAAACGTTCGACAATATAAAATCAAATATTTCAAATGATTTAAAAATGTTGCAAAATTGGCTTCAGGCAAATAAACTGACTATAAATTTTGAAAAATCATTTTACATGTTTGTTGATAAAAAATAATTTCAGTTGAGCAAAAAAATCCGATAAAATTTGAGGACAATAACATACAGTATAAAAATTCAATTAAATTTTTGGGACTTTATATAGATGAAAATATAACATGGAAAAAACATATAAACAACATGTTACAAAGTTTATCTCCTTTAGTTGGCGTATTATATAAAGTGAGGTACTACATTCCTTTAAAATATTTGAAAAACATTTACTATGCACTAATATTCCATTCAAAAATTCAATATCTAGTTTCGATATGGGGATCTGCAAATGACTCAATATTAAAACCAATTCAAAAACTACAAAACAAAATTATTAAGTGCATTCATAAACTTCCGTATCTAGAACCAACTACTAATTTATATAAACCCCTTGGTTATCTGAACTTACATAAGTTATACAAATTGAAAATTTCAATATTTATTCACGCATTATTAACAAAAAAGAAAATATCAAATTTGAACCTTCAAAAGAATGAAAATTTCTATAATTATGCAGCTAGAAAAAATAAAAATTTAAAATTATTACAATGATTTACCAGAAAACATCAAAAATATAAAACCTTTGCATTTGTTCAAAATATACATTAATAGCTATTTATACAGGGTGTCCCACGGTGGATGGCGTATTAGACGTTTATGGAGAACTAAAAAGCGGATCATTCTGAAAATTTGGCAACCGGGGTAAACAGCCATGATCTACACTTTAAAAATATTTTTGTTTATGCGGTGTTGCCGCTTCTACTCTAAACCAGTGGCAACAACGCTATTTTAAATGGAATACCCTGTATGTGATTACATATTTTGATTCTACATAAAATTCTGAGCAGATTTCATGTGATATACCCTATACCTAAGTTCAACTGTTTTGGAATTATTGACAGTTGAAAATTGACTTTTTGCAACTTTGACAGACTGTAAAACCTGAACGGTTAATTTAAGAGAAAAATCAATTTCACATTCCTACCTTACATTTTCATGAACTATCATTTGACACCAACTTTGAATTTACCCGGAGATTAAATTTAATTGGAATTTTTAATCATGGATTAAATTTGAAATTGGTATCAAATGATAGTTTATAAAAATCTAAGATAGGAATGTAAAATAGGTTTTTCTCTAAAATTAACCGTTCAGGTTTTACAGCCTGTCAAAGTTGCAAAAAGTCGATTTTCAACTGTCAATAATTCCAAAACAGTTGAACTTAGGTATAGGGTATATCACATGAAATCTGCTCAGAATTTTACGTAAAATCCAAATATGTAATCAGATACAGGGTGTTCCATTTAAAATAGCGCTGTTGCCACTGGTTTAGGGTAGAAGCGGCAACACCGCACAAACAAAAATATTTTTAAAGTGTAGATTCTGGTCGTTTATCCCGGTTGCCAAATTTTCAAAATGATCAGCTTTTTAGTTTTCCATAAACGTCTAATACGCCATCCACCGTGGGACACCCTGTATAACAAGTACATAATTACATTGTTGATAGAAAAACTTTCCAAATATGGTGTATGTGGTTCACTTCTTCAATGGCTGTATTCTTATCTTGTAGACAGAAGCCAGATTGTAAAGGTGAAGTCATTTCAATCTGAGGTTATTAGTGTTACTTCTGGGGTGCCTCAGGGGGGTCATCTTGCACCACTCCTGTTCTGCTTATTTATCAATGACATAGGGTCTTGCTTCCATCATGTCCAATTTTTGTTATATGCTGATGACTTGAAAATTTTCAAGAGTATAAATCAAGAAGGCCCAGACAGGGGAATGCAGGATGATCTTCTGAGGTTCCATGAGTGGTGTGTTGAGAACGAGATGACATTGAATGGCAAGAAATGCAAATATATTCAGTTCTCTGGGAAAAATTCTCCCAGACTAAATGACTATTATATAAATGATAATGTTATTGAAAATGTTTCTAGTATTCGAGACCTAGGTGTTGTATTCGATGCAAAATTGTCATTTTCTGAACACATTTATGCATGTTGTAATAAAGCATTGAAAATGTTGGGTTTTATCAAAAGACACACAAGAGACTTTAAGAATGTTTCTGCTCTCAAGTGTTTGTATGTGTCATTGGTTCGTTCCCATCTTGAAAATAATAGCTGTTCGTGGTCACCACATTATAAAATTTATATTGAATTAGTTGAACGTGTACAGAGAAAATTCTTGAGATACATAGGGTACAAAATGGGAATACCTTCAGATTTTATTGATCATGGTCAGCTTTTGCAGAATTTGTCATTGGAAACATTGGAGCATGGGCGTAGAAAATTTGATCAGTTATTGATTTTTAAGTTGCTCAGAGGTTATCTGAATTACCCTGAGTTGCTCTCGGCTGTAAACTTGAATGTCCCAGTGAGGAATTTTAGAGCTCTGCGCTGTTTTTCGTTGGAGAGACATCGTACCTCTTATGGCCAACACACAACCATTAATCGGGCTATGTCTTATGCCAATGAGATACAGGTGGACATATTTGCTGCGTCTTTGCACCAAATGAAGCTATCACTGTGATATTGTTTTGTAATCTAGTGATTTACTCTGTGATCTGTTTTTGGCTGTTTTTTGTTGTCCTTTCAATTTTTTAATTTAGAAATAATTTATTGTACTCTTTTTAAAATTTTTATTTATATGTGGTTTGTTATTAGTATTAATATTATTATTGTGGCAATATTTGTAAAATTGGGCCGCTGCCCGTTGGAAGCGAAAATAAAATAAAAAAAAATAAAAATAATAAAGTAAGGCTTTATTGTACGAATAATTTTATGGCCGAGCGAGCTTGCGAGCGAGGCTCTTAAATAATGAGTCAATAAAGCCTGTTTATGTAAGCGTTATATACATGATTTTATGTACGATTCTGACTGGTTTTTGTTAAAACATAAAAAAATTGAATGAAAAAAGTAAAATTCGCATAGATATACCTGTTTCACCTTGGCAGGTTGTCAGGACCTGTTTCACTTTGGCAGGTTGCCAGGACCTGTTTCACTTTATCAGGTAGTCTAGGTAGGCAATAAAATAGCACTTTATTTTACTAGTAAAATAAAGTAGCACTTTATTTTACTAGTACAATAAAGTGCTACTTTATTGACACCAAACTGTTCTATAAATAGCACTTTATTGGTCAATCGGACATAAAAAACATTTTCTTCAATTTAATTGACTATTTGATAATATCATTTTTTATTATATAAAAGTTTATCATATTTTAATCAAGGCTTTATTTGAATCAAATTATTTTTTTTTATAGAATTATTATGGTTGTTAATTTTTTATTTTATTTTATTTTTTTTTATTTTTATTTTTTCCCTGTAATAAGCGTTAAGTTTGTTGGAAAATAAAAGGAAAGATAATTTGACAAGTGTCATTGTTTGACATTTTCATTGACAAATACGTTGCACAACACGCGGTTTTTCTCCTTTTCTTTTTATCCTGTGCAAATAAGAAGGACGGATTGCTATACGTAAGTATAACATAATTTGGTACGTTTTGCCTTGTCTTGCGCAATGAGCGTTTTGTGTCTTTTTTTTTATTTAATGAAGTTTTCGTATTATTATCTCTTTGTCTGGTAAAATAGATAGGTCTATTACCAAAATCAAAATTATATAGATACTTACATTACAACTGTGATTGATAAATCGCGCCAAGTTGCCGCATTTCGTCGCATCAATAACGTTTTCCACATCGATTCTGAAAAGGTAGGAACTGCCAATGCCAATCGATTCGTATTTCGCCTCTCTCAAATCCGCCAAGCTGTGCCTAACCGTATGACCGACGTACTCGATAACCTAAATGAGAAAGATTGATGAACAAAAACTGTGAAACAATTAAATAAATTCTTACCATTTCGTCTGCAGCGATAGGTTCCATTGCAAACAGACCCCAATCGTGAATGGCCGATTTGGCAAACTTCAGTTGCTTCTTTCTAAACTTCAATTGGTTGAATTTTAACAAATCTGAATCCGTATCGCCACCGAAAGCGGTGAGAAGTCGTCGTTGATTTGATCTCGCTTCTCTTGACAATCCTAAAAAAAATCAATGATGTTCAAGTTTATTGAAGAATTAAGAAAAACAATTCAGATGACATTCTCTGAAAACTATTAGTTATTTGCCAATAAATCAATTAATCTAATAGTTTGAGACTGAAAAATGAATAGATTACAGACAAAAATCGCCCACTTACCTTGTTGTTTGTTTGCCTGAGAAACGGTTGCCTCTGTCTGAATGGCGTGTGACTTCGCGTGATGGTACTTATATCGTGATTTTTCGTGAGCAGACATTTTGTAGTAACCTTCTGTTCTGGCACTTCCTAAACATAAATTAGAACATTATTGAATAAATATTGTATGTCATTACAATGATAGTAATATTAATATCAATAAAATAAAAATTAAATAAGCAATTATTGAATACCAAAAATGAAAAAAACCTTCCTTCAAAGTCACGCGTCTGAACCTACTTTTTCAGTTTTAATAAGCATTTCTCCTACGCTTTCAAAGAAGCTCATAACTTTTTTGTTTTCTGATCACTCACTTTAAGTATTTAATGAAAATTGCCTCAATTTCTCAATAATAGTTTCTCAAATTCTCATATTGGTACACCTAGTAGTTTTCGAGAAAAATCTTCGAGTAGAGGGACTTTTCAAATTATGCAGCTCATGAAATATAATTTTTTTGAAAGCTCACAACTTTTAATGTTTAGTACGGGTTGCCTCTTTCTATGAAAACCTAAGAAAACTCGGAATTTCAAATAATGAAAAATCTTTTATCATAATCTGCAAACATTTGTATGACATTGAAAACCACATCTTTTCTAACGATCTTTGCTAACCTTAGACTAATTCAATAAGATCACATATTACCATATATTACGTATATTTGCCAAGAAAAAAATAAAAGTAAAAACTAAATTCAATTTATTTTTACCTGACGCATGTCCTCTCACGTCCCGTTTCCTCCTCTTGGGGGGACTCGAATAGAGATCTGTAACACAATGATCTACCCAATGGGTGTCGTTCAACCAATAACCCATCGCATCGTCCGACAATAGTTCCTCGTACGATCTTTTAAGACAGTCAGAATCTTCCTTATCAAGACCTAGATTCAAAAAAATATGGTCCCAATAATAGTCGCAAATAGTTTTCAATAGTTACCTTTCGTTAGGAATTCGTAGAGAACACCAAACTCGGACATCTGATCCCTAACTTTATGTGTTATATGTTCGTGAGGGTTGTATTCTCCATTTTTGGACACATCTTTATCAGTGTAACTGATGTTTTGTATCTCTTGTAGTTTTTTCTGTTTCTTTTGTTTTGGAGGTTTAGGTGGTTTTTCTTTTTCCTACAAAGGATGGAATAATTAGGAAGAGAAGAAAATAAATATTGCCAGGACAAGAAAGAAATTGTTACCTTTTTAGGTTGAGGAGGCGATTCGACTGGCACTGGCACTGACACTGGCACTGGTACTGGTACTGGAACTGCTTCGGGATCCGCTTTGTGTGTGTAACCATGATCATGAGCTAAAGCGTCTGGTACTGGTATATCTGTGAGTCGATCATTGATTTCTTTTTCTTCTGGCAGGGAAAGACAATACGAGTGATCCAGGGCCACCTAAATTATAGTAAGTAGGAATTATTCAGAATAATAAGCACAATACTTGGAATTGTGATAAATGTGAACTATACATTATACACATAATAGTAAGGTATTGCGACGACTTTCTTTTAATATGAAACCTGAAATTTGTAAGAGGGACTATAAGCAAATTTCTTACCTGACTACAAGAACTATTCTGTCCTGATCCGGTCGACAATCGTCTCTTGAAGTCCGTCATTCCATTCAATGCTCTGTCTTTCATCTGGAAGTAAATTATAGAATAAAGTATTTATCAAAGTATCAATATTCAAATTATGCATTAGTTTTTTTTTTTTTATAATACAGGACAAATAATTTTGCAATTAACATTCTTCACCTTTATTTGGTCTAGTTCCATATCTTCATCTGGAGGCTCTGGATTTCTAACTTGCCGTAGAAGAGCATCCCTTTCAGCTTCCAATTCTTCCAGGGTCTTCTCTTCTATCTCTTCAATTGCACTCTTGGTTTCTAGAAGAATTATTTTTGTAATCTCATCTCTGAATAAAATAAGACCTACCTTCATCGTCATCATCAATCTCGCCCATATACTCCGGTATTCTAGGTGGAGACTCCAACATAGCTTTTGCTTTCTCCGCCTTACGCCTTTCTCGTTCTTCTTTTTCTTTTGCTTTCTTAATCTTTTCCGCTTCCTTCCTTGCTTTTTCTTTCTCTCTTTTCTCTTGCCGCTCTCTTTCTTTCTCTTGTTTCTTCCGCCTATCATCCTCTTTCCTCTGTTCCTCGTGCTCTCTCCTTTTCTTATCTTCCTCTTGTTGGACTAGTCTCTTATCTCTTTCTGCCTGATCTCTCTCCTGACGTTCTTTCTCTATCTGTTCCATCCATTCGTCATTTTTGCGTCTTCGTTCGAGAAGAATACGTTCCGTTTCACTGTGGTCATCACTGTCACTGTCATAAATGTTATCGAAATTGTTTTTGGGTGTAGAGTTGGCGAAAAGTTTGGGAGAAAGTAGGCGGGTTTTTTCGTCCGAAAGACATGCATCTTGAGAATCAGTGTCAGTCTAAAAAAAAATCAGTTTTTATTACATGGTAAAATGATAAAGGGCCAATTTATTCATCTTTTGATAAACTGCCAGGTATGCAATTTGAAGGATAGAAACACAATCTGTAATTCCATTGGTCGGCCAGTTATTCGCCACCCAATAGAATAGAACGGTAAATTTATGTTGCAGATAATAACTAGCCAGTTTATCTGAAGATGAATAAACCGGGCTACTGGGCATTACATAACAATTTCATTATCTCAAAATCTGCTACAAAATATTCATAGTTTCAGAATTACCTGAACCAATGTCGGAGTTTTATTTCTTCCCAAAATGCCGTCATCCAATAGTTCAAAGGCGGGGAGCTCTGTTTTCGTGTCAACCAAGATTTCGTCTTTTTTAGGCAAGGTATCGCTTCTAAAAAAAAAAAAATGTATAAGATTTCGGAAGTTAAAGCTAAAAATACAATAAGTACGAAACTTTAACTACTAGCATCGAGTGGAATTCATAAGAATGCACTCTGCACTTTGTGCCAAGCCTTTCAAATTTAGTAGTCTTGAGGTTTCAGGAAACTATCGCAAGCAATTTGAGCGCGGCCTCTGCCTGTTAGCTATAAATCAAATATGGCTGCAATCTGTATTAGTATTTTTGGGAGATTCCCTTCTATAAGATACAAAATTTGCGGTCCCTCCAGTCACTGTGCGCAGAATTAACCTGCTTGAAAGTGGCTTTGCATTGAATTTTTTAGCAATGTTCGAATTAAGGTATACAACTGCCCCTGTGCCTGCTGTTATAGTGATATTTCTCCCATTAATATTTCCTTCAATAGTCAAACTGTCCGCAGTCTTTCCTAGCATTTTGATAGTTATGATTCCAGGGACTTCACTTGCACTAGCTAACACTTGCCTCACCATGTTGGCTAATCGTAGTTTTCCTTAGATCTCCTTTGAAGGCTGAGAGTCACCAGAAAGAGAGCGAGATCCTAGCCGTACTCTACAGTCACGTCTTTAATGTCCCTTTCTACCACAAAGGTAAGATTCGATGCCCCTCTCCAGTTCCCTTGATTCAACACCATCTTTCCAGTTCCCTTGCTTCTGAAACCAACTATTTGCATTTGTTCAAGAATTTCCTTCTTTGTGTCTTCAATTTAACTCATTGGTTCTTTTTCCTTTTGTAGATATTAACACAGCTCAAATATTTGGCTTAGATATTTTATATGCCGCTTCAATTTCTAGGACTTTGATCAAGGCTTCGCTGCTACTTGATGGTTTGTTTATGAGCAGCTTTCTCTGAACATCCATATCTCGCGTCTCGCACTTCATTTATAATGTTTTCGGGCACTAGTTGTTCTCGCATTGGTGTTGCTGCTTCTGGATAGGCCAAATCAACCAGACGGCGGATGTCAGTTTCAAACTCTTGTAGGCTTTCTGCAGCTTTTTGTTGCCTTGTTCTTAGTTGTACCTGATAAAGCTGCCTCCGGTGTTGATCTCCACAGCGGCACTCTAATGCATCGACAAAGGCACCATAGTTTCGTTGGAAAGCTGGCCGAAGAGTTTCTAATAAATCTAACGCAAGACCACGTAATGCTACAATCAACCCTGTAGCCATATCATTGGAGCTCCAACAAGGCATTGCAACAGTCTCGAATTGACGTCGGTACATGGCCCTCGATGTCTGTTCGTCATTATTATATAATTCTTATAATTATATACTAAAATGGTCTTTTGAAACCGGCGAATTCCCCTCCTGTTTGAAACGGTCGATTGTGATCCCTTTGCACAAGGAAGGTAGTTGTAGAGATCCATCTAATTTTCGCACTATATCACTGCTTGCCACTCTTTCGAAGGTAGTTGAGAAGCTAGTTAAATCAAGGCTGGTTCACTTTCTATCAGCATTTAATATTAAAACCGCTTCTCAATTTGGTTTTGAAGCATCTAGGTTCACGAGTAATGCAGTCTTTTCGCTTCTAAAGACCCTTCACATAAGTCTGAATAGTGGCGATGTGACTGCAGCAGTGTTTTGCGATTTTTCAAAGGCCTTTGACTGCATGAATCGGGAGGTGCTGCTGCGGAAGCTTCACCATTATGGTATACGGGAAACAGCTAATCAATGGTTCAGAACATATTTTTCGCAGAGGGTCCAGGTGCTAAGAGTTGGCAGTGATGAGTCAGCACCCGTATGTCAGTATGGTGTGCCGCCTGTTTTTTTTTTTGATACATATTAATGACCTTGCGATGATTAATATTCGGGGGAAGTTTACATTCTTCGCTGATGACACTATTCTTCTATGGCATGCGAAAAGAGATGATAATCTTAAGGAAATGTAAGCTCAGAAGTGCCAATAATTAAGGGTTGGTGCGATCCTAATTCTCTAAGTTTAAATATCACTAAAACCATAGATTATGAATATGTTGGAAATAAATCAGTAGTCAAGTTCTTGGGCCTTTCAATAGAGAATAAACTTAAATTTGTTGAACACATTTCTTTACTGAGTTCTAAACTGGCTTCTGATTGCTTTGCCATTAGAGTGGTTTCTAAAGAACTGGGAACCGCGACAGCAAGAATGAATTATTTTTCACTGTTCGAATCGCACCTTCGATATGATATAGCATTTTGGGACTTTTGCAACCAACAGTTATTTAATTCCATTTTTGTTCTGCAGAAGAAAGCCATACGATTTATGTGCCGGGTGGGAATCAGGGAACATTGCAGACCACTGTTTATCTCACAGGAAATTTTGACAGAAGTATCTCTATTTATCCTTGAAACAGTGTGTCTGATTCACAAAAAATCTTACATGAAGGTTCCTGATCGATTACATAATACAAGATTAGACCCAAACCAAAATCTGCGTCTCCCTATTTCCAGACTAGCCCTTACTAAGAAGCCTGCGGATTTTGGTCAATATCTTGAAATCCGAGTCAATCTGAGAAAAACTGAGAACGTCACTAAATTCTTCTTAAAAAAGTGCTTCTAGAAAGTCTTTACGGAAATGAATTATTTTCATAAACAAAAAAGTTATGAAGGTTTCACATTATTGCTCAAAATCGAGAATGGCCCTCTAGCGGCTAAACGGTTGAATATATCAAAATGCGGTTTGCACCATTCAAAATTTCATGAAATTTGAGCCTCGGAGTGGGGGGTTCATTTTTTTCTATCTCTAAAAATAAAGGGTGTTTCCATAAGAAAGTGTCCAATTTGGACCACCCTGTACAGGGTGTCTCAAATTCAAGGGTGACCATTGAGATATCGGAAACTATAAGACATACAAGGTCGGTTAAATTATGGCAAAGTTGCGCAATCTTATGACCAATAAAATGCCGTTTTGAAATTTGAAAAATTCGGAATACTTCCGAAGATATTCGGAAAAAATCGAAATTTTGCAAAACTATTTTTATTTCTTCCTGAGTTTATTTGAAGAGCAATTTCAAAATAAACGTCACTTCATCAGTGTCACTTTTTTCCCTTTACAAAATATTGCTACCAAATTTCAGATTCGACGATTCGTATTTGGGCGGCCATCATCAACTTCGTTTTTCTAAATACGGCCCTGGATTTTTTATATCAGATTTTAAGAGTTTCTGATGTCCCAAAATCTATGACGTATTGCATTTATTCGAAAACAGTTATTTATGCAACAAGTGTGTAAAGTGAACTTTTTTTTACGAATGTGAGTTTTGACTCTGATCACATGAGAGAAAAAAGGTGCTTTACGCACGTATTGCATACAAAATTTTTTCTACTACCAATCAAATATGTGTAAAAAAATAAATTTAAACAAATACTTTACGCACTAGTGCGTGAAGAATTTTCACTTTACGCACTAGTGCGTGAAGTAATTTACCAGAGAAATGCCAAATTGACAGTGTCGACACTGTAATGTCACTGACATTACTTTACGCACTAGTGTGTGAAGTGAATTCCTTTACGCACTAGTGCGTGAAGTGAAATTTTAGAACATTTTTCAAATTTCAAAAAGGCATTTTATTGGTCATAAAATTGCGCAACTTTGCCATAATTTAACCGACCTCGTATCTCTTATAGTTTCCGATATCTCAATGGTCCCCCTTGAATTTGGGACACCCTGTACGGGTGGGCCAATTTGGACACTTTTAGGAAACATCAATTTCTGAGCGAGATACAAAAAAAATGAACCCCCCACTCTGAGGCTCAAATTTCATGAAATTTTGATTGGTGCAAACCGCATTTTGATATCTTCAACCGTTTAGCCGCTAGAAGGCGATTCTGAGCAATAATGTGAAACTTTCATAACTTTTTTGTTTATGAAAATTATTGATTTCCGTAAAAACTTTCTAGAAGCACTTTTTCAAGCAGAATTCAGTGACGTTCTCAGTATTTTTCTAGTTGGTCCCAACTTCGAGATATTGACCAGTCTGGTTTTTTTCAATAGGACACCCTATATTTTAATAGCTCATTAGAAAGCTCTGCTTTTTCTTATTTCAATGATATAAAGTTCGATAGGCTTATCTCTAACAGTTTTCGAGAAAAAAAATAATTTCGGTTTTTGTCATAAGAAGCAATTTGTAAGAAACGGACTTTATATCTATAAGGAAACTGAGAAAGGTCTCTTTCCAACACATTGTCTCTTATGACAAAAACCGAAATAATTTTTTTTCTCGAAAACTGTTAGAGATAAACCTATCGAACTTTATATCATTGAAATCAGAAAAAGCAGAGCTTTCTAATGAGCTATTAATATATCATCGTTAATTTCACAAAGTGACGTATCTCAATAAAAGCCTGATTTGAGATACGACCCTTTGTGAAATTAACGACGATATAGGGTGTCCTATTGAAAAAAAACCAAACTTTGGTCAATATCTCGAAGTTGGGACCAACTAGAAAAAAATTGAGAACGTCACTGAATTCTGCTTGAAAAAGTGCTTCCAGAAAGTTTTTACGGAAATCAATAATTTTCATAAACAAAAAAGTTATGATGGTTTCACATTATTGCTCAAAATCGAGAATCGCCCTCTAGCGGCTAAAGGGTTGAAGATATCAAAATGCGGTTTGCACCAATCAAAATTGCATGAAATTTGAGCCTCAGAGTGGGGGTTCATTTTTTTGTATCTTGCTCAGAAATTGATGTTTCCTATTAAAAGTGTCTAAATTGGCCCACCCGGTAACTTCTAGCGCTTCAAAATCATTAGGGAACTAATAAAAAAACTTTGGAAAACATTTTTAAAAGCTTAAGAATGCGCTAGTGTCAAGTTAGAACATTTTAAAGCATTTGAGAGGCGCCATAAAGTAATTTAGAACTTTGATAATCTTCAGAAGACTTTGTTTGAGACAAATTGAAATTTTTAAAAATATTGTGAAATGTTGCAAAACACTTCAGAACCAATTTAGAATTTCAGAAACATTCTAGAATAGACCAGAACACTTCTAAACTTTCGGCAGCATTTGAGAAAGCTTTTGGAGCACTCTAGAACACTTAAAAAATCATATGGAACTTTTGGGAACAATCTAGAACTGGAAACTTTCAGAATATCTTGAAAATACCCGTACGTACTTTAGAATATTTGGGAGATTTTGATAGCTTCTAGAACATTCCGGCGATTCAAGAATCAAGAGCATTGAGAAAGCAACCATTTGAAAACTTTAGAAACCATTTTAAAAATCTTCAGAATGCGCTCGTGCCAATTCTTAAGCATTTTGAAACGCTCTACGCTCTAGAGCACATTAGAATAAATTCAGAACTTTCATAAGCTTCAGAAGACCTTCAATTCAATTTTCAATCCTCCTGTATTTGTTTGAGGCAATTTGAACTTGCACGAACATTGTAAAACGCTACACAACATTTCAGAAATATTATAGAACGGACTAGAGCACTTCGTTATTTCCGAACTTTCGGGAAGATTTAAGAAAGCTCGGGTTTAGGTTTAGATACAATTTAAAATTTACAGAGGTATTTTGGAATGCTCTAGAACACTTCACAAATTATATGGAACTTTTGGAAACAATCCAGAACTGCAAACTTTCAGAATATCTTGAAAATCGTTACATGACACTTTAGAACTAACTAAAAAACTCTTATGACCATATTAGAACACTCTAGAACTCTAGCACTTATTTAGAACCAGCCCAAGCCCTGATGGAATTCCAGCAGTGCTCCTGCAAAATTGTACAGCCATCCTGAACCAATCCTTGTCTGATCTCATGAAAAGTATTTTTGAAGCTTACAACTCTCCTGAGATTTGGTCAACATCGTTTGCGATTCCAATATACAAAAAAGGAGACAAAACCACTCCATGGAACTATCGTCCAATAAGTTTGACATTCAATTTATGCAAGTGTATGAAAAAAATTGTAGTGAAACAGTTAACCCCATTTTTACTGAAACAAAATCTATTACTGAGCCTATGTTCCGATATCAACAGTCAGTACTGAATTTACTGGACGCCATTCCGATATTATTTTCAGTACACTGGATTCAGTCGATTCAGTACTGAATGACCACAAGAATACGCTGTTGAAATCGGAACGGCAAATGACAGTAAAATCAGCACAATAAATCCAGTACTGGCAGTCGATATCGGAACACAGCCTGAAACACCAACATAGCTTTCTTCCAGGGCGTCTACTACAACTAATCTCACACTATGCTTGGACGATTGGACAAGGGACTTTGACAATAACGAACAAGTGGATGTGATATATCTCGATTCCGAGAAGGCGTTCGATAAGGTGTGCCACAGCTATCTCCTGCATAAATTAGATCACTTTGGCATTGCTGGGAGCTTGCTACAATTTGTATCGAATTTTCTATTAAACCGATACTATCAAGTAAGAATAAATGCAACATTTTCAGACAGAAGAAAAGTCCAGAGTGGGGTGCCGCAGGGATCAGTACTGGGCCCTCTACTTTTCTAGTATATGTCAGCGATATGACATCATTATCCAAACCAAAATCCTACTTTTTGCTGACAACATGAAATTGTATGCAAAGGCTGCAGAACACAAGAAATTGCAAGAAAATCTCAGAGCTATAATAGAAGTGTGGTCCAATAACTGGAAAATGAGGCTAAACGAAAAAAAATGTACTACCTTGAGCACTGGGACCAATACCACTGAATATGTCTATAATATAATCAATGTTGGGCTGAAGCATGTAAGGGAAGAAATGGATTCAGGTGTCAGAGTGACCTATAATCTGAAATGGGAGATGCACGTAACAAAAATAGCCAAAAAATCTAACTCATACATATATCTTGTGAAAAGTGCCTTTGAAAACCAGTCGTGTGACACCTTATGAAACTGTAAATCTTTCATACATCCAAAACTAGAATACGCCCACTAAGTTTGGAATTCGTACCTCATAAAGGATATTGAGATACTAAAGTGTGTGAGACAAGCAACAAAGATTCCACCATCACTCCCTAATAAAGATTACATTATTCGACTATCCACTTTGGGACTCACTTCTTTAAGGGAAAGGCGTCTGAGAGGAGATCTGTTCGAGACATACAAGAATATTCGAAATGGCTACTCTTGTAACCTTGACATCTTTACCTTCAATGACAACCTCCATCTATGAGGTCATACTTTAAAGTTGTGCAAGGAAAAAACCGCCAAGCTTCCAAGAAGGAACTTCCTAGCAAATCGAATTGTCTACCCATGGAACAGCCTGTCAAATTCTACAGTAACTGCGCAGTGTTTGAATTTTTTCAAGAATAAGGTTGACACCGATATGAATGCATTATTCCAAGTGGATATTCATTATTGACAATAACTTATCACGATAAACTCAAAAGTAATCCAATAGTTTCATCAGTGTAAACTGTTTACTATTGTACCATAATTATAATAATGATAAAATAATATCTTCAATTTAACGTATCAAAAATCGCTCAAGAGCATTAGGAAAGCAATCAATTGAAAACTTTGGAAAGCATTTTGAAAATCTTTAGAATGCGCTCATGCCAATTTGGAACATTTTTAAGTATTTTGAAACGCTCTAGAGTACTTTGGCAATTCAGAACTTTGATAAGCTTTAGAAGACTTTCAATTAAATTTTCAATCCTTCTGCATTTGTTTAAGACAATTTTGTATCTTGCAGGAACATTGTAAAACGCTACAGAACACTTGGAATCAAAATTTTAGAAACATTTTAGAACGGGCCAGAACACTTCCGAACGTTCAGGAACATTTAGGAAAGCTTGAGATAACGTTTAGGTTTAGATCCAATTTAAAATTTCCACAGGTATTTTGGAACGCTCTAGAATATCTCATAAATCATATTGAATTTTTGAAACAATCCTAACCTGAGAAAGACTGAGGATGAACTGGGAACTTTCAGAATATCTTGAAAATCGTCACTTGACAATTTAAAACCAACTTGAAACTTTCATGAACATATTATTGAAACACTCTAATACAAGTTCAGATGTTAAAATTTCAATAAGAAGTATAATTTCCAACCGTTGTAGCAAGTGCAGCTACGACAAAATCAATACAACTAGTGCAAGGTCAGTGTAGTAAGTACAAGGTCAGTTGTAATGTATGTAAACCTCATATTTGTTATCTCAAAATGATTATTACCTGTTAATTTGTTTAACCTCCCTATCAGACTCATCCGAGCTACTCTCGTCGCTCGAACTGTTTTCATCATCTGAACTAAATCCTGAAGTCGAGCTGGAACTACTTGACGATATTTTCCGCACTCTTTGAGAATCTTCGCCTGTCCTCGAATAATCGGTTTCGCTACCTTCATCATCTCGTACGATCTCTTCTTGATCCGACAAATTTTTCGACTCTTCGTCCTCTAGCGGCACCGGAGACGGGATCTTCTTTCGACGAAAACTGGGCATTTTTGGAAGAGATGCGCGAAAGCCCAAACCAACTGAAATTTCTAAGATTTCTTAATGTAATTTTGTCTGATTCAGTAATGACATAGTTCTTACCGCTATTATCAAAACCACCATAAATATCGTTACTTTGTTCCAGCAAAGCGTTGATATTGTCTCTAGTGAGAGAAGGTTTTTCAATTTCTTCCTTGTCTTTGGTTTGCGAAAACTTACTAGATTCATTTTCCCACCTTAAATTTAAAAAAAAATTACTCAATCTTCACCTGAACTTCATTCATATAGTTTAATATTAATTTATTGACCATTTTAAATTGTTTAGGCCTATAAAAGTAGATTTTTATTGTGATCTCCTTTAGACAGATGATGGATAACCTTTACTTATACATTTTCAAAAAAAAACTACTCATAGAGAACTTTGTATTTACCATGTCTCAAACGTCTTGTACGCCGTCATCTCGATCATTTTCTTGGTGAAGTCCTTTTTCAAGATATCCTTCAATTCCCGCGTCATCTCGCCAATCACCGTGTTGATCAACTGCGCATGTGGATTATCTTTGTCATCTACCTTACCAGCGCTGATCAATGGAGGTATTGCCATGGAAGGATACGGATACGGACCAGAACCCATTGTTGGATGCAATGTCGGATAAAACTGAGGTCCATAAGGATAGGGGGAAGGATGCGGTGATGGGCCGTACGGAAATGCTCTCCAATCTGGTGTGTAGGTCAGTTGAGAAGGACCGTTGGATCCCGACGGATATCCGTAGTTTGGTCCTGGACCGGTGTAACCTGAAAACATATTAAACTGTAAATAGTTTCCATTGATTAGTATATTATAGTTTTGGTAGACATGAGTATAGTAAAATTAAAAGTTACAGACTTTGATTGACTCAAATTTTACTATATTCAACACTGGAAAATCTAGCATTTTTGAACGATTCCAGGAGCCTCAAAATTGATTTCCAAAAATGATCAAATCACATAAAATCGATCCTAATGCATTCTTATTGATGCCGATAAGAAATCCCATGCACAAATTATAATTCTGTAATGTTCATTCAGTATTATACTTACTTGTAAAACGGAAAGCGGCAGCTTAGTTAGAAAAAGCAGAATTTAAAATTATTTTAGGTATAGAGGCTTAAAATCCAAAAAAATCTAAATCTATTTTTTTCTTACCAGCGGCAGGGAAAGGATAATTCGGATAAGCTCCAGCAGGTGTCCCAGGTGTCGGTGGTCCAGGTGGTAAAGGAGGTTGCTGGGAAGGCTGAGGAGGTGGATCTGGTTTCGTCTCTTCAATGCCTACACCTTCGGTACTACTAACGCTGGACATGCTCATTCTATCTTCGTCTTTCTCAGGTTTAGGTATAGTTTTAAAGTCCCGCCTCTCTATAGGACTGTAGTTCATTTCACCGGCTAGTAGTTCGTCTTCGCTAGATGAAATATCGCTACCGAGATTGTTCATTTCTTGGACTTTTTTTAAAAGTGCAGAGGTTTCTAGTGCTTCTTTTTGATTTACCATCACAGCCTGAAATTATTCAGAATATTATATTAATCACTACTTATTTTATAACAAGTTAGATAAAATAAAACATAAACAAAGTGAGTATCGAAATTATTACCTGTTCAAGAGCAAACCTATGACACTCCAAATAAATGTCCATGGATAAGAATGGAGAGGGGGGTGTTGACAGTGGCTCTTCTTCTTCCTTGGGTTGAAACTTCGACGACGGCGCCATTGGATTTATAGCCATGTCACTCAAGGATATACTGGAACGATCTAGAAAATAATTCATTTAAATTATTCAAGGATACGAGCCAAAAGAAAATTACCATCGTCACTGTCTAAAGAAGCTGACAAACGAACTGTCGGCTTAGGTATTACAATTTCTTCAAGAACCTCCGGTTGCTTGCTAGGGCTACTAGATTCTTCGTCAGAGTCGCCTCCCAAAGCCAAAAATGGCGGAGCCATACCTCCGGTACCTTTGTCTTTAAGTAACAATGCGATTCTGGTGTCTAAATCTAGTTGTTTTTCTTCCTCCAGCAGCTGTACAATTGGTAATTTCGTTGTAACAATGATTATACAATTTTTATTATTTCCTTACCTTATCTTTGTCTCTTCTTACTTCTTCTCTTTCTTTGTCTCTGTCTCTATCTTTTTTACTTCTATGATGTTTTCTTCTATCTCGTTCCCTATCCCTTTCCTTGTCCCGATCCCTATCTCTTTCCTTGTCTCGGTCCCTATTTTTGGTTCTGTCTCTATCCCGATCTCTATTCAAAACATTAAATATGAGACTTCGACAACAAAATGCACTTTATTAATCAGACATAGCAAATGAATGATTGTTTCACGCATCACTCACAGAATATAGGATAATTTCACAATAAAGAAAATGAAATATTTAAAACTACAAACCTGTCTCTATCTTTCTCTTTCCTTTTACTATCGCTGCCTGACCAACTCTGTTGTGACGTTGTAGAGCCGTCCCACTGATCGGCAGCGGGCCACGATGGATGGGAAACAGGCCAGGGTGCGGCCGGTGGAGCCAAGTGAGGGTGATGATAAGGTGGCGGAGCCGCAAAGGGGAAACTAGTTGAAGCAGGTGCGATTGGAGCTGCATGATAATCATACCTGGAAGAAAAGTACGAGTCTTGCACCTATTCTACTGCCCATAATTGTAGAAAATATTAAAAATATCAAATAAAGTTTAAACTGAGGTGAATTTGGGTGCCGGCGTCTTATAGTTTTATGTGAGGCTACACCTACTAGGTCCTAGTGCTAGTGCAAAGAATTCCCTTTCTAATTTTTGTAGGAAAGCAGGATAATATAGTGATGATAGATGCTTTAGAAAGCAGTTAGACAAGAATGCCAATAAATCTTAAGTTGGTAATTTTTGCAAATAGGTCAGTTCTAATAAAATCACCGAGTCCCTTGGCTAAGGGCTCAAGTTTCACTGATTCTTGAAAATGCTGCTACATATACATGTGGTATTCTGTCAAGAACTGCAAAACTACTTATGTAATATTCGAGGAAATATAATATAATTATAATACACATAGCACTTATAGTAGCGCAGCAAGAATCCTGAACACCTAAACCACAACAAAGAAGTGCGATTTTCACTTTTGATAAGTGTATTTGGAAACGACATCAAAGTTCTGAGCACATGCAGATACTACATAGATACACCAGATCTTAACTCAATATTTTACATCAGGTGGGTTTTACTACTCAAACACCCGCCATTCCACACTGGCCAAAATCTAGACGACAATAATGAATAATCAGCCATTACTTACGATAAAGGTGTCGATTCAGTAGACCCATAACTGGCTGAAAATTCACTAGAAGTTGTTCCGTAACCTAAATCAGAGCCGGCAGGAGTAGGAATCCTAGAGTCAAAATTTTTTTACTGTTATTTACATTACAAGTACGATATAAGCATCAAAAGTGGCAAGTGTGGAATATTTTTATGAAGAGTTGAGCGACTTTATCTGAAGATGAATAAACTGGGCCGAAATAAATTTATATTTTACCTGTAACCCCTAGTAGATGATCCATATTTATCTCGTTCCCTATCATGCCAATCTCTATCTCTATCCTTTTTTGAGGAACGAGAATACTCATCTGAATATTCATCCTTGTGATGTTTCGATCCTTTGCCTTTTGATTTGTATAATCTGTCATTCACATTATCGTTCCCAGAATCATAGGAAGCCCTAAATAAATATTATTGTTACTTAGCATTTAGGTATTCCAGAAACAATATAAAAATTGTCAGTATAGAATATGTTTTTTTAGAATCTGACTAAGACTAATGGCCGTTTTCACCAACTATTTTAAGGAAGCCTTAACAATAGGTATTCCTTAAACTGACATTTCTCCATGGAAGACTGTCATTTTAGGGAATACTTATCATTTGGGCTTCCCTAAAATAGTTGGTGGAAACGGCCATAATTCTGGTAGTTATCACTTACTTCTTGTTATCAGTAGACTTTTTACACTCCTTTGCTTCTTCTTGAACAGGTAGAGATGTCTTTTTTTCCAGCGTAAGTTCCTCAAATTTTTCTTTGCACTTTTTCCCAAATGCATCTAAAAATACATCTAGAACCTTTCCCATTACACTGGTATTGTTTAATTTTTCCACGCATTGTTTGGCTGATTCTACGTCTTCAAAAACTACTCTACCTATGCCTATTAAAGATAAAAACACAATGTTATTTTTAATTCGACTTAGGGCCGGTTTCTCAATAGCAGGTCACCCTCGGGTTAAGGATAACTCCAGAAACTGGACACGCTTACCCTTGAGTTAAAACTAACTTGGAGGTGACTCGCTATTGAGAAACCGGCCCTTATTTGAAACAAGGATATTTGACTTGCTTACCTAAATGTTTATTTGTGACAGGATGGTAATAAATAATGGGCTCCTCGATGACACCAAATTTCTGGACAATATCTTTCAAGAACTGTTTGTCAATATTGTCGTTAAGATGAAAAATGGTCACCTCTATTGATGGTGGATCGCCCACGTAATTTTCGTCGATTTTAAACCTGAAAAGTCAATAAAAAGCTTGCATTAAAGTAGAATAACCATTTTATAAGGTATGATCTTATGATTAGCAGTTATGAAAATCTCAGAAAAAAGGCTAACCTTCTGGAGAACACTTTGTCTTTCTTAAGTCTAAGTTAAAAAATGGTAGTGGTACTGCATCCAAAATCTCAAGAAAAGAATTAAGTAAAAACGACCAAGTCCAAATTTTCAAAAACTTCTAGCTCCTATGTTTTAGGATGATATTGTTTTTTTTTTTTTAATGTTTCCCTACCTCCTCAAGGAGCTAGGAGACCTTGACGTTGGTGGGGAGGCCCAGTGTCTCTCCTATCCTCTGCTAAGGGTGGCAGCAATACAGCAAATGGAAAGAGGACAGGCGGGATGTCCCTTTGCGGAAACCGGGGGTATAACTGGTGCCCTGGAGCCGGTGGATGATGAGGTATATGGGCTTGCCATAGCCAGTCGGTCAAGTGGAAGGAAACCACAAAAATCCCCCCCAAGTCACAGTAAAACAGCATAGGTCAAGACTCAAGGGCTGCCTGGTTAAGGGGAAGCTTAATCACCACTATGCGGACTCTAGGGACATGGCAACCCCTAGTATAAATAGTTACCAAAGGGCGTGCGGGGCTCTGCCCTGATAGTTTTGACATTTCCCCTGCTACTTTGATAAAAAATATGAACCAAGTAGACAAAAAAACAAAAAGGGAAGAAGAAGACTCCCCAAAATCACCTGAGAGCATGGAAACAGAGAGATTCAAAGCCTCGTAGGATCAGTTTATGAAGAATCAGCACTCCTAGTATCTTAGTATCTACTGATGACGAAATCGGCAAAGATCTAAACGCCTAAATAGCAAAAAGATCAGGCTGATCGGCGCCGCAAGAAAGAAGGTGAAGTTCCTCATCAGCAAAGAGCTGACGAGGAACGAGAAAACGAGTTCTCCTGGGAACGCTGCTCTGCTCCCCTGTTTCAAGAATAAGGAGCAAGCATAGCCTATCCTCATAAGGCCTGTATAGTTCAAATCTTAAGCTCCCCACCATGCCACCACTGATGACGTAGGCAGTGTGTCGTGCTTGCCTTGACGTAGGGTGTCTCTTATTTAGATTTAGTTTGCATCTTCCTATTTGCTTATTATGCTAATCAAAATTAAATAATATTTTTCATCAAAAATTTAAATTCTTCTAAACTACGACCGCTGACGCAAACTGCTGACGAGTTAGTTAATGACGTCGGCAATAGTGATACACCAATATCGCGGCGATTATTAAAAACAAAGCCGTAGGGCAATGGAAGTGTCAGTAGTGTGCAGTGTGTATTATCGTTGCAGTGAATGCAGTCAGTTGCTTGCAAAAAAAAAATCAGCGGAAGTGAAATTTTTCTTTTAGCGTGAAATTGTGAAAAGTCCTTTTTGCACGCTGTGAGGAATAATTGATTATCTAGGTAAGTTAGTAGTGCGATTTTAATAGCTTTTAGTCCAATCAAATTACACTTTGAGAAAAAAAAAATTGTTACCTGAACTTTTATAGTTGGAAATGATCAAGAGGATTACAATAAACGTAAAAAATTGTATATTGTTGTATTAGGAGTAGAAGCTTTACTTTTTTGTGCTGAAGCGGTAGGTTTGCGAGCCGAACGTAGTGAGGCTTGCAATACTGCTGAAGCACAAAAAAGTGCTTCTACTCCGTATGCAACACGCTATTTTTTCTCCAAACGAATGGGGTAAGCTCGGGGGCAAGTGAATGGTTGAGCGGCAGCAAAAGTATGAGCGGCACTAAAAGTACTTTTACTGCCGCTGGGGTTGCCAAGCAGCATAGAAATTAAATTTCTACCACCTCGACAGGTGTTAACCCGCTGGATTTGCCTAGCAGCATAGAAATCAAATTTCTGACATCTTGACAGGGGTTAACAAAGTGACGTTTTTCTGACGTTTGGAGAAAAAATAAATTCCACACGGGGGGTAGTGGAGGGTTGCCTTGGGGGGTTGAAATGGAATGGAAAATGGTATTATTATGATTTCCGGCGAAATCACGCATCAAACCGAAAAATACCCAATACAAGAGTTATAGATGATACAAATATCTACAACTTTTGTATAGGTCATTTTCAACATAACCTCAAAACTTCCGAGAAAAATGCTAAAAAACCATTTTTTTTTTTAATTTTCGATTTTTCTTTTTCATTCCGAACTAAATAATTCAATTCTGACGAAACTTGGTGAAAGTATAGCTTTCTATGTCGAAATTAACCACATTCTTTTTCAAATAAAAAAATTGGAATGTTTGATCTACGTTGAAAAATTATCGTACAGAGTTCTGCTTGTGCTCATTTTATTCGTTTTGACATACACTTTTTAGTGCAGTAAAAAAAATTAGCTGTGGCAATTCAAAAACATACTCAAAAATGGAAAAAATACAAAAAATAACATTTGCAACAATGAATTTATGAGTAATTATTGATGATTTGTTTGAACTTCAACAAATCTCTAAAAACTGATTACGCTAATAAATTGTATGGAAAAAAATACGAGAGAAACTTTGTTTCATTGTTTGATCAGAAGCTTTGTTCTTGTATGTACAAGATGAATTGCTATTAACATCTAAGTCGAATAATGAAGCTACAGTAAAATAAGAAAAACTTATATTTTTATTTTTTTTTTATGCCGTAGAATCGATTTGAATACTAATAGGATTTAAAAAAAAAAGAAAAAATACATAATACTAGGCCAATCTTGGTCTTGTGTGCAAATTATTTTCATCGTCCGATGCTAGATTTTAATGGCTTTCTTCCAGATCTTCGAACGATTCCTCATCTTCGGAATAACTATCACAATATTGCTCTTGTAATTGGTTTTCTGATTCTAAGCAAAGACTAGGCAGCTCGATGTCTTCCGTGTCACTCGAATCTTCCGATATTTTGTCAACGTTAAACAATTATCTGAATATTTTCTACATAAATCTGTAACATCGCAGTCCGTGTTTTCGACACCCGCATCTTTTACCTTCACAACTGGATTCACAGCTGCACGAGATTATTGTTTTCAATAAATCTTCAGGTATGACTGAGGCTTCTGTAAAACGAGACATCAGTGTCGAATTGCAATTGCGATGTACAGATTTATGTAGAAAATTTTCAGATAATTGTTTGAACGTTGACAAAATATCGGAAAATTCGAGTGATACGGAAGACATCGAGCTGCCTAGTCTTTGCTTAGAATCAGAAAACCAATTACAAGAGCAATATTGTGATAGTTATTCCGAAGATGAGGAATCGTTCGAAGATCTGGAAGAAAGCCATTAAAATCTAGCATCGGACGATGAAAATAATTTGCACACAAGACCAAGATTGGCCTAGTATTAGTGAACGACCACACAGAAGGCGATTGAAGCGGCATTGAAATGAGTTTTGGCGTCTACTTCATATGCTTTTTATGCGTTCGAAGATTTTCTTGCGATTTGTGTCCAAATAAGAAAAGAAGCTGCGTGTTGCGTGTTTGCACTATGCAGTTCCTTTAAATATGTCGATGAGTGATAATACGGCTGTACGAAAGCTATTGCGTACCGAGAACATAAATCTTGAATTAGATTAGATTATGGTGATGAGACTCTCTGGCTGGGTCCATGAACCAAGAGAGAACCACAAAGGGTGAATTCCATACTTTTTTCTCCAGTTGTGGCTACATACTGATAAATTTTTTGAATACTATAGAATGACCATTCAAACCTTTGACTTAACATTGAATAGACATTTCAAATACCTAAATGAAAGAAAACTAGGCATAAATCGTCAAAGAACGCATGCTAAACGCGGTTAAAAAACAAAATGATTTGTTTTCATTTGCGATATAAATTCTTTTTCGTCTGTCGCTTAAGAAGCGCAAAATGCAAGAAGCGTCTTGTCGGGCCACTCGCTATATAATACATTATTTTAAAGCCGATCCCAGACACTACGTGTATTCGGCGAATATTCGGTATTCGGGTTTATTGGCGTAGCGTGTGGGAGGGGAACTTTGGCGAATATTCGTCCTTCGTCATTTTCCCGCCGATTGTCGGTAAACTGGCACGAAGCAAAGGAAGGCGAAGTGACGCGAAGTCCACTACGTGTGACTTCGCACTGCTCCCAGACGCTTCGGGGGTATATGCATAGTGTTTTGTCAGTTTATAGCGGTGTGCAGTGCCGCAAGGTTGATTTTTGCATTTTTAGTAATTTTTAATTAAAATAAGGAATGGAGTGGACCGATGAATTAACGTTAGAATTTTTACAATCATTTGAAAATGAACCTCTGTCATTTGGAACCCAAAGATACCTGCCGAACATGACACAAGTAGCGGCGGCAACCATCTGCTCTTCATCACTGTCCATTTGAACTAAACAAACGTCATGCATGAAACGCCACTGAAAATCGACGGCCCTCTGCTTGGAAACTTCGCCGAATAATTATCAAGCCAAAGCTTCGCCATACCACAACGCCGTGTGGGAGACTAGGCAAATATTCGTGCGAATAACGAATATTTGCCGAATACACGTAGTGTCTGGGACCGGCTTTAGGGCAACCTCAGGGTAAAATTCTAGAATTTTAATTAACATGTATTTTTTTTTTTTTTTTTTTTTAAATCCTATCAGTATTCAAATCGATTCTACGGCATAAAAAAAAAATATTTTTTCTTATTTTACTGTAGCTTCATTATTCGACTTAGATGTTAATAGCAATGAGCAAACAATGAAACAAAATTTCTCTCGTATTTTTTCCCATACAATTGAATAGCGTAATCAGTTTTTGGAGATTTGTTAAAATTCAAACAAATTATCAATAATTATTCTTAAATTCATTGTTGCAAATGTCATTTTTTGTATTTTTTCTATTTTTGAGTACCTATGTTTTTGAATTGCGACAGCTTTTTTTTTTTACTGCACTAGAAAGTATATGTCAAAACGAATAAAATGAGCACAAGCAGAACTCTGAACGATGATTTTTCACCGTAGAATTTTTTTTTGAAAAAAAACTGT